TTGACTGGTGTCACCTATACTCACAGTCTGTGTAACAGTTTGACTGGTGTCACCTATACTCACAGTCTGTGTAAGAGTTTGACTGCAGCAGGATCTGTGGCCAGGAGGCGGGAACTCCAAAGTGGGTCACCCTGAAGATACAAATAACCTTATTGAGACTTTTAGAAGAAATTTTGTAGGAAATGCTGGCAAATAGCTGTGGCAACAGTAATAACAGTAGTATGTTATGTTGCCACAGGTAAAAAAGAGACCAATTTATAAGCACCAACTGCTACTGCTAGTAAGGGTTCCATTGGGTATTTACCTTAAGCTTGAAAACTACTTTTTATTTCCCCTGAGATGTGTGACTCGTGAATGATGCCTTTTATTTTTCACTCTTTGTGAAACAAATTGGAAGTCATTATACCAGATGAGAGTTTCCAGATATTCGACTGGTATTATCAATGAGACAGGAATAAAGTTTTATTTGCTGTGATTTGTGTATTGATGTTTTTATTTCCCCTGGATTGTGATCACGCCCCCCCCCCCCCCCCCCCATGTACTTTTGTTCTGGTTGCAATTCAAATGTTTTCTATCATTTAAAATTCCAAGTAATTACTAATTATAAACTACTGTAGGACCCAAAATATCTTCTATCCTACTTATAAACAATTATTTAATTATAAACAATTATATATATTTATAACCAAATCATCATCACCACTTATGTTTAATATTCTAATGGCAGCCACATAGACTGTCCTATATTCCCATAATGTTTTTTTTTTATCAAGACACGTGCAATGTCAACACGTGACCGATGCTTGTTTTCCTGTCCAACCGGAAGTAAAAACTACATGTTGTCACGTTGCCGAACAAGGTTTATGCATAACAATTTTATGCACGTTATGGCCTTTTTTATTATTATCATTAGTATCTGAGCCTACTATCATCACCCCATGCGAGTAAATTTAACGTGAAGAGGGAAATATCTCCCAATGTGCATTTGCAATGCGAGCAGCGCTAGTTATTTGTGACTGGTGTAAGGTTGACTTACGAACAGATTGGTATACCCCATCTCGACCAGCTGTGTGGCGAAACCTCCGTCTATGACCAACAGAGACGACGTGAGCCCTTCCTCTGACTTAAAACTCATCTCCAGGTCTGAGATGTTGATATATCTTCACCGTCCAGAGAACCAGTAGACATCACCAGCTCGATCAGAAGTGTGGCGAAAGATGGCGACACCGTTAGCACACCACTTTCACTTTCACAGACAGTGACGAATGTGATTTGGAGCCCACTGTTTGAGATTTTATCAATATTCATGTTTTTTGAATGCAGGATCAGTATAAAAAGCAATTGTTTTTCAGTTTATACATTTACCACAGGCCGTGCAGTTCTTATCAAATCATACTAATAAGCTCTCCATGACTGATAGTATTTCTCTTACTTTGTCCAATCATCAAGAAAAAACTGATTTAGAAAAGTGTGGGAATATTTAGCTTACATACAGAAACTCAACAAATCACCACATGCATGACCACCACGTAAAGACCGTAAACAATTTCAGTTGCCATTACTCCCGAGTACATGTATATGGTTTTATATTACCATTGTGGCTCTGCCTCTGTATGCATGTTTCATATTTACTGTAAATACAGCTGTCATTGTCTGTACATAGTAAAATATTTGCTGTTTTGCATGTTATTACACTTTAATTATCCATATAATTACCTCTGTCAATAAGAAAAGGAAAAAAAAGAAAAAGGTATCTCGCGAGCCGGATTCGAACCAGCGACCTAAGGATAGCCACAAATATCACCTACAGTCCTCCGCTCTACCAACTGAGCTATCGCGAGTCCTTACGACGCTGAGATGCAAATACTGTATATATTTATAAAAATATATATTTTGTTCATTTTGTCAGTTTCTTTATTTTAAGATGTTTTACAAGATAAATATAGAAATGTCAGAATGATATATCAAATAGTAAACATTATTCAATAATGAGTTCGTCATTTATACTCTTTAATACAGTGGAATATATCTTTTACAATAGATGGCGTTACTTACTATTGTTCCGGTTCCGGTTAAAACCCGACTGGGAGGTTTTGCTAAGTAGATAGGTCTAGGTGAGTTAAAATTCTTACTTAGATTTAGAACAGATTAACAATTCTTTGCAATCGGTTTGTAGAATTCCTATGTTCAACATTAATTGTGCAAATGATGCAGCATCATATTTTCTATATTGTTGTTCCCGTTTTGTATAGATAGCGACTTGGTGTTAGAACTGTTACTTAGAATTAACTACGCGAAGACTCGGCAACTGGCGACGGCAAATAATGCCTCGTAAGCTCTAATTGAATTAACTTAATTGATAGTTTTCAGCAGTGCGCTTGTCCTATAGTGTATGGCGCCATAGTGTAGTTAGTATAGATGCTGTTATCACTTGTGTTATACCTACCAGAAGTAGAAGAACCCGCTCGTCCTCCCCCAACAAATTCACACTTAATGCTTAAGCACTTGTTTACCTGACAGCGTCTTCTTGCTCTCTCTTCTACTCTCGTGTCATATATTTCCATCTATCGGTTTAGCCAAATCCTTCCATGTGGATAATAGGTTTATACTTTCTGGGTCTGGTTAATTCATAGGGAAACGGTTGACATAAGTTGAAAAGTGCAATTCTGCGAGGATTTGATACAACTGCTAAACCTGTATCCGAGTAGCATGGGTTTTTATCAAGGTCTATCTCATTGTTGCAATAGCATTGGGGGTAGTCATATTCTTGGCTTTTCAAAATAATTGCAGATGAATTGTAAAGAAAAAAAAACACAAATTAAAGATCAATTTATAACTTAATGAAGCTGATTTTGTGTTTGAAAATGCCTCACAATTATGTTTTTATCCTGTAAAGCTTTTTATTTTCCCAATTTAGACCTAACAGATGATACATCCCTATTAAGAAAAAATAGTGTAAAGCTTACCTTATGTTTTTATCTCCTTAACTCAGCCATAGATCCTTTCAACTTGTAACTGCACGTAAAAATAAAATCAACTTTACTGTACACTGTACTAGGCCTTGATACTTTTTTAGGTTGAGAGAAGAAAATTGCTTTTAGCTTTAAGAAAATTCATTTTGGTGGATTGCTTTAACCAGCTCATGAGTGTTTCATTTGCCTTGTCACAGGTGTATATTATGTCAAACTAGAAGTAAGAAAGGTTTCCTTTGCACCACTCAGTATATATACTGGTTGTTGCCAAACATTTCCTCAGCAACTGGCCAGATATGGCACTTATACCAGCCCTTGCAGCCTTAAGAAGGAAGCTAAATAAAAAAAAAAAAAAAAAAAAAAAATATATAATATATATATATATATATATATATATATATATATATATATATATATATATATATATATATAAATGATTAAATAAATAGATACAAAGGTTTGTTTATGTCTTTGATAGGTTATGTTGATTAATCTGTTTTTTTCTACTTATTCATAATATTTAACTGTGTTAAATGTCAATACAAGGGAGAAAGAATTACAATGAAATGTTCCATGCATTATTATAAGCTTATTCTTTTCATTGACAGGCCTAGGCTTCTGGAGAAAACAACCTAGACAAAGAGTCAGCTGCATTCTTCTATCCAGTCACAGCCCACTGCCTGGTCAGCAATGTTAGTGTAGAGAGAGAGAGAGAGAGCGGTGGTCAGTTATTGTCCTAGTCCATTGTCAGGAGACAAGAGACCAGGAGTATTGTCACCATGGGGGAGATGTCAACAAGTTTCCTTCATATAGGAGATATCATATCTCTGTATGCTGAGGGCACTGTCAGTGGATTCATAAGTACACTGGGGTGAGTACACTGTCAGTGGATTCATAAGTACACTGCAGTCTGGGGTGAGTACACTGTCAGTGGATTCATAAGTACACTGCAGTCTGGGGTGAGTACACTGTCAGTGGATTCATAAGTACACTGGGGTGAGTACACTGTCAGTGGATTCATAAGTACACTGGGGTGAGTACACTGTCAGTGGATTCATAAGTACACTGGGGTGAGTACTAGTAAATGTAAGTTGCTTTCTAGGTTTAAATAAAAGCACAAAGGCCAATTGGTTTTCTAAAATTGAGAAAGAAAGTGACCTATTAATTGTATTCAGAAAGGATGCTTTGAATAAATGAAGGACATGATGCTGACATTGGGCATAAAGTTGATGGAAGGAAAATTATGAAAAATGTGACATGACATGTTTGATAGGGAATTTGCACCTGAAATCCCCACTTTTATGGTCAAAGTTTGAGCAAGTATAATCTGCAGTTTTTTACACAACCCGTATATTTACCTAACAGTAGGATTGGGCCACTAGAATTGTTTAATGAATTCAATGTACCATCATTATTTACCTAACAGTAGGATTGGGCCACTAGAATTGTTTAATTTACACCGCATACAGCATACATTTGACTTGCTAATAAATCACTTGCACATCATAAATTGGATTCTTAAAGAATAAATCAATATTTTCTACCTTTATTTCATAATTGGCCTTTTTCCAGCAGTAAGTGACACTTAAACAACACGGAGTACTCTTAAACCCTACATATAGCATTTGTGTTTAATGTTTCCTGGAGCTCTAAGGGGAATAACAGTTTTTGTATCTGTATGTATTGTTTCAGAATAAAATTAAAATTTGGAACCTATGTACACTTTGCAAAGTGCACAGAAGCTGTACATATATTAGAGACAGTACTATTGTAACTAATGATAGAACCTAACAGATGAATTATGATGTGTGCTACAGTTTTGTGGTAAACTCAAATCAAAATGTTGAAAGCAAAATGTATGTGCTATGCCCCCCTTCTCACACACAAGACACCCATGCAGTTTGATTTGATTTTTTTGGAGCCTGGCAACTAAATTTTCAGGCCTACTTGCCTCAGTAATTCATGATGAATGTGCATTTAAGACAAATGTAGGAGATAAAGGCTAGCTCGCGTAATTCATAGAACATGTGTAAAGTTCTTACAGATGAGGTACATGAGTGTTTGATTATTTTGGATTGTTGTGAACATTTTATGCTGTCCAGAATAATAAGTTGAAAGAGGTATATGCAGAAAGTATGTAAATGACTAGTTCTTTTCAATGGGGAAAAATTATATAACTCTTTCAGATACATGATTTTCAATCATTTAAAATATAATTTTTATGTGGTGTTTTTTTGGTGCTTTTACTGTGTGGAATTGAACTGTGTGGTATCCTGCATTTCAATATTGTTGCTTTTGCTCAGTAGGGATGTTCCTTTTATTAAAATTTATGACTTAAAAAGGAAACCAACATCTGTGAAGTTCACAATTTTCCCCATTGAAAAGACCAAGTAATGCCAGTGCTTTTAGACAGCTGATTATAAGCACTGGCAGTCAACAGTCACATTACAGGTAAAATACACTGCAGTGTGGTCATATGTAAAAATATTAATAGCTGTGTGTCATAAGCTTTGTAACTTGTAACTTTGCACTCCCTAGCCTGTTATTCAAGACTGAAATTGAAAACAAGTCCAACAATGTAATATCTGGAGACTGCAGAGAAAGAGGGAGGAAAGTTTGCTCACAAACAGCTCATGTTATCAGCTCAGTGGTCAGGAGAAGTTTGTTGACATATTGCTCAGCAACCAAATTGTGCCATCTTAAAATAGGCCTTATCTTGTCTACCTTCTTGAGCTCTTGATGATCGGATTTCTTTCTTTTTAAAGTGTCGGGTTAAATAGGGGCATGCCCCAGATCATGTAGGTCAGACACAACTTAAGTCTACCCAAACAATGATTTCAGGCTGATATAGCCATACAACAGTCAGCTCACTGTTATATCCACATCTTTATTTCTCCTATCTGTAGGCATCATTCCCATGTGATAAAACAGATATTGGTATAAAGTGCACATCTTAAGCCATACAAGTTCTTTGAAAACTTAATATCAAAACTAGCTAAATATTTTTAAATCTATACATTGATTATCTATTAAATTCTTCAATTTTTGTCCAGTTGGATAATTGTGATAATAAGATTTAATGTAACTAGTTCTCAGGTCATTGTATGATGGACAAACTAATATAAAATAGAATACATCTTTGATCATTCTGACATTTTCTTCAGATTATTCCAGTATAAAATATACAATTTTTTCCCAATCCCTTACGTGTGCCACCCTCAGTGGGGTTTCAGTGAGGGCAGATTTCCCAGCTTTAATATATATAAATATATATTTAGAACATTAAAGACGTAAAACCTGCAGCTATACAGCATGTAGAAATTACAGCCTTGTAATCTTAGTTCAAAGCATGACTTGCAGCCTAGAACAAGGTGCAGGGCCTCTGCTTACTGCTTGAACAGTTAATGACCAGCAGATGAGTGGAGCTCTCACAGTGGTGGAGAGAGAGGAGGGTTACCTAAAGCAGGTGTCTGCAGATCTCACCTTGGTGGAGAGAGAGAGAAGAATGTTGTCTAATTACTGGACCTGTTACCTGGTCAGAGGGATAAAGTAGGAACCAGTAGCCTGTTGAAAAACTTCCCTTCTGGAATGAAAGCTAGCTGAAATGACTTCAAGTTAATGACTTAAGACTTTTCGATAGAATTGAAGACAGCTTGAAACACTTCAGAAAAAGATCAGTTGAAATAAGTGAAAATTGTTGAAATATGCAATGAGAATTAAAAAATACCTTTTTTTTTTCTTTCTGCTATTAAAGATGAAGATAATTCATGTGCGTATGGACTAAGATATCTCCTGAAGTTTCTGCTATCAGTGATATCATCTTTGTATGGTAGCAAGTGAACTGTGATGTTATATTAGTAGTAGAAATGATGTGTGTGCTATTGGTATTAGAAATGGAATGAGGTCTCTATTTTGCCTGTGGAAATGCGTGTTCATATAAAATGACAAATGTGTTCAGATGTTTTCTTTAAACTGTTGTGCCCATTGTGTTTGACTTGCTTTTACCTTAAATCACTTTCTCAACATAAACTGTTACAATAGCACAGCATGTATTACAATATAATAATAACAGATAATACAGCATTACAGAATAACTTGGTATATATCTTACTGTACAGTGTGTTCAGATCAGCAGAGTATAAAATAACTTGGTATATATCTGACTGTACAGTGTGTTCAGATATACAGTATCACAGAATAACTTGGTATATATCTTACTGTACAGTGTGTTCAGATCTGCAGAGTGTAAAATAACTTGGTATATATCTGATTGTACAGTGTGTTCAGATCTGCAGAGTGTAAAATAACTTGGTATATATCTGATTGTACAGTGTGTTCAGATCTGCAGAGTGTAAAATAACTTGGTATATATCTGATTGTACAGTGTGTTCAGATCTGCAGAGTGTAAAATAACTTGGTATATATCTGATTGTACAGTGTGTTCAGATCTGCAGAGTGTAAAATAACTTGGTATATATCTGATTGTACAGTGTGTTCAGATCTGCAGAGTGTAAAATAACTTGGTATATATCTGATTGTACAGTGTGTTCAGATCTGCAGAGTGTAAAATAACTTGGTATATATCTGATTGTACAGTGTGTTCAGATCTGCAGAGTGTAAAATAACTTGGTATATATCTGATTGTACAGTGTGTTCAGATCTGCAGAGTGTAAAATAACTTGGTATATATCTGATTGTACAGTGTGTTCAGATCTGCAGAGTGTAAAATAACTTGGTATATATCTGATTGTACAGTGTGTTCAGATCTGCAGAGTGTAAAATAACTTGGTATATATCTGATTGTACAGTGTGTTCAGATCTGCAGAGTGTAAAATAACTTGGTATATATCTGATTGTACAGTGTGTTCAGATCTGCAGAGTGTAAAATAACTTGGTATATATCTGATTGTACAGTGTGTTCAGATCTGCAGAGTGTAAAATAACTTGGTATATATCTGATTGTACAGTGTGTTCAGATCTGCAGAGTGTAAAATAACTTGGTATATATCTGATTGTACAGTGTGTTCAGATCTGCAGAGTGTAAAATAACTTGGTATATATCTTACTGTACAGTGTGTTCAGATCTGCAGAGTGTAAAATAACTTGGTATATATCTTACTGTACAGTGTGTTCAGATCTGCAGAGTGTAAAATAACTTGGTATATATCTGACTGTACAGTGTGTTCAGATCTGCAGAGTATAAAATAACTTGGTATATATCTGACTGTACAGTGTGTTTGGTATATATCTGACTGTACAGTGTGTTCAGATCAGCAGGGTGTAAAATGGCAAGGATCGAAAGATGGTGTAGGATTTTCATTTTTGATGTATGGTAATGACTTGATATTTTCAATGGGCAAAAATTATCAAACTTTTAGATACATCATTTTAAAACCATAAAAAGTATATTTTTGTACAGCAGTTGTGGTGCTTTTAATGCATAGAATAGAACTATAAGGTAGTCTGCTTTTCAATTTTGTTGTCACTACACTACAAAACTAGATTGAATTTTTGTTTTCCAAACCTGAAATAAACAAAAAATTGATAATTACAATAATCAAGTTTTCATACTCAATTTTCTTATTAATTAGTTTTTTAAAACTAGTTTTTTAAAAGTTTTTTTAAAGTAATTTTAAATTTAGTTTTTTAAAAGTAATTTTAAATTTCCCTCCATTGCAAAATTACAATGGATTTGGTTTATTGAAAGATTCTAGGAAATTACACTAAATAATTTGTAATAATTGAATAATCTTTTGGTTTACCTGATTAATACTGTATACATCTCCCCATTCAAAATGAATTGTTGAAAAAAAATACCTTGATGAGATAAACACTTCTCAGTGTGATTTCTTTCTTGACATTATAATTGTTTGGACAATATGTTAGTGTTGAACGGCAAAATAATAAACCTATCTTCTGTAATCAATTCAATGACAAGGCAATTCAATGAACTATTCTTTTGTTTACATACCCTAATCAAGATGGCAATAAGTAAAATAATAACAATGCATGATGATATAATTGACTAAAATAATGTTCAACCATTCTATTCCATTCAAACGAAGTTGATGTTGGCATAGGTGTTGTGGTGATGGAAAAAACAAAAGTTAAGAGCTGCTTTGACCTTTCAAATTGTAAGGAAAGTTGTTGATTAAACTTTCATCTTGTAACCTATTGCTTATGATAACAACAGCTAAAGCCATGTAGATTAAAATTTCAGTAAAGATATCATTTACTTATGGAAGTTCAATGTCTCCTGTAAAAAAGAGGTTCACTCATAGACTGAAAAATAATTTGGTCCTTTTTTGCTGCCTCTGCCATCTTATCAAGCTTAAAACTTATTCTTGAATCATGGTATGGGCTAGAAATTAGTTGAAATTATGCTGAAATAGTTTTAGTTTGGGGATTGATATGTGAGGTTTTTCTTAAAAACAACACATTTCCTAGAATGTTAGAATAATTTTAAAGGTCAAAAAGTGATTTAAACAGCTAAATTTATTGGCGTAAGATGTCAGTATCATTTCCTTGAAAATAGGCAGATGAATCTAACAAAATGTTTTATATGCTACAATTGCATGGTATCTTCATTATACAAAATTCACACCCTTTTGATAAAATTGACTTGTTTGGACATTCAATGTGACATTATCCTTGTAGATAACTAAGATCACATTCACAACGAGTTGAGCCAGGCTTTTCAAATCCTGGGGACTAAATATGGCGGACATACATGAAAGAAAAACCGCCTTTAGAATCTTTTAATAGTCTCTTCGCCTCTCACACGCCTGCCCATGTGTCATCCCAATGGAGCCGAGATTTAATGACTGTCCTCCCGCAGGGACGACGTGTGGGGAGGCGTGTGAGAGGCGGAGAGACTATTAAAAGATTAGGCGGTTTTTCTTTCATGTACGTCCGCAATATTTAGTCCCCAGGATTTGTAAAGCCTGGCTCAACTGTGAATGCGATCTAATATTTGATTTGAGTGCATGGGTATCATGGTTGGTGTTACTTTGTTGGGTAACATATATATTGAAATTACATACCTCATGAATTTGATTTCTGTCATTGCTTATCAAAGCTATTACACAATGTAATTCTGCTTGAATTTTATATTTGCAAAATGATGTTAGACTCCAGTCATGTCAATAATTACATCAAGTGACAAAGAAACTCACTAAGAAACCATGCAGGCTGTGAGAGAGAGAGAGAGAGAGAGAGAGAGAGAGAGAGAGAGAGAGAGAGAGAGAGAGAGAAATTTGTGCCATCTTAGTGCAACTAGCTGAATACCATGTCAGCTGGTTTATGGCGGCTGCTGTATGACTTTGTTTGCTTTAACCAAGTGTATATAATTGGTGAACATACTGAAACTTGTCTGTATTCTTTAAAACACTTCTTTGTTTTAAGGGAGTATTAAATAGTTACTCCCTACCTCCTTTCTCTTCCAACCTCCCTCTTGCTTCAGTATATAATATACTAATTAATACATGCAGTGTCATCTTTTGGTGGGCTCCCCCCCCCCCCACACACACACACCCAACCTCACTTGACCCTCAGTATACTAATATATATGCATACAATGTTTTGATTCAGTCTTCTTTGGTGGGCTTTTCCCTAACCTAACCAGCCCCTACTTCACTCTATAACTCCAGTATGCCAAAACATGTCCTTGTATTTATTTTAAGTTCTGTCAGTATGTCAATTAATATTTGTTGCTAATTCATGCCAGTTAATATTGTTTATATATATTCCAGGTTGGTAGATGACAGGACAGTGGTTCAACCCGAGGCAGGGGACCTCACCAACCCACCCAAGAAATTCAGAGGTAGGTATTCTTGCTTATCAAAGATAAATGTAAAAAATTGGATGCAAACAGATTGGTTGGTTGATTGGTTGATTACTGGGTTGGTTGATTTCTGGGTTACTTGGTAGATAGGTTGGTAGGTAGATAGGTAGGTAGGTGGATTGAGTACTTGGTAAGTTGATAACTTGCTAGGTAGGTATGTTGGTGGTTAAGTAGGCAGGCAGGTAGGTACATCATCAGTATTTGGCCAGATAGGTTGGTTGATAAGTAGGTAATTGGGCAGGTAGGTAGTAAGGTTGGTAGATTGATATATTGATTGTAGAAAGGTAGATAGGTTGGTAGGTAAGTAGGCATATAGGCAAGTTGGTTGGTAGTTAGGTGGATGTTTGATAGCTGACAAGGCAAATTAAAAAAAAAACATGCAGTTGCAGTATTGGAGTTATATAGAAGTCATTCACCATTTATACTGTAATGTGAAGGGGTTATTAGTCTGCCTCTTCAGTAAATCTGTCATAACATCCTCCTAGCCATTACTACCAAGACTGCTCCTTCAAAGTGCACCTCTTGTCAGATGATGGATGAGACTTGCTCCCAGCAGTGCTGCCTGCTGCTTTCTTGGGATTTTGGTTCTTAATATAGCATCTGGGTACCAGATAATATCACACAGAAGGATTTGGTTGTTTTTTACTTCTTGATTGATGCTTTGTCCATATTAAGCTTAGTGGTAAGAGTACTTTTAAAATGAAGCTACTGGCTTGGCATTGGTTGGACTTGCAGTTGATGAATTTCTTGCTATTTCAATCACTCACTAAAATGATTACATTTAGTAAGTCCCATTTGCTGTATTATATTAAACATAATAAAGATGTAAAGTGGAAAGGGAGTCATACAATTACTGAGGTTCAATAATGTTATTGTTTTAACAAAAACAAGAAGCATTGCAGTTCATTGCAGTTATCATATATATTCAGTGGATAAGATGTGATCTCCCAGAGGGTAGGAGATTATTATCCTGTAGCTGTGACATGAAGCAGTCATTCTATGCCTGACACCATTCATAAGAGTATGCAGTATATGGAAATGGTGTGGAAGTAGAAAGTTGTTAGAATAATCAACATCATTGTGGGAATTGACAGGCAAGGGCACCAATATAATAACCTATCTGGTGCGAAGGAATGCTGAATATCACTGAACACTCCTTTAGTAGCAAACTTAGGTATAGGTTTAACAGTTTAGCTGAGGAGTATTACGGACATTAAGAAAAAATAAGGCAAAACTGATTTATCAGCATTATTTTAGAAAGAACACTTTTTCCTTCGGCAAAAAAATCTGAAGCTTGTGGTGAAGATATAAAATGCTAGCAAAGACTACTGTATAGAATTATGAAGATTTCAAATTCCAGCATAGTCTACTATATAGCTTAATGAAGATTTCAAATGCTAGCCGAGTCTGCTATAAAGCCTTATGAAGATTTCAGAAGCTAGCCAAGAGTCAGACTGATGTATAATGAAATGAAGTAAGAAGTGATAAGTTACTGTACAGTAATATTATTATTAAATGGTATCTGTCACACCTGCTCCAGCCATAGGGGGTCTTATTACAGACAGCTCACATTATCATCATTCACTTCATAGGATTCAGTAGAAATCAATTCCCTTGCTTGGTATTGTGCACTTGATTCCTTACTTGTCACTGGTACTATTGGTACAGAAGGACCAATTAATTACTTGTTATTTTACTGGGGAAATACCAAATCTTTCATTTCAAATGAATATGGCTGTTTGATAATTCTGTTTTATCTTATTAACATGCAGTTAGATGATTCTTCAATAGTATCCCATATATTGCCTTTTTGGTTAAGATTCTTATAATGTTGTCCTGTTTTTCTGTTTCAGATTGCCTGTTTCGTATCTGCCCTATGAACAGGTACTCTGCACAGAAACAGTTTTGGAAAGCCTCCAAACAGACTTCCCACCAAACCAGTGTCACTGACGCCGTGCTGCTGAAGAAATTACATGTGAGTAAGGAGTTAACTGCTATATATACATATATAAACCTGGCATGCTGTTCTCAATATCACACTCTGGACTGCATGATACATTGGACGATGTGATTAAATGTCAAACATCAAACACACCTAACACACTGTCACATATGACACAATGCCCCAGATGTCTATGTTAACACAATGTCACGCTTAACACAGTGTATCTCCTAACACAATGTCACACCTGAAACAATGTCAGACCTAGCACAATGTCACACTTAACACAATGTCACACCTAACACAATGTCACACTTAGCTGGTACTTATTACTTGATGGTCTAATTTTATATGCACTTTTATTTCACAGCTGACTCTATGTGTTTATGTCCTGAAATTTTCTGTTGAAATTTTAGATTTAAGCAATTGCCCATTAATGACTGTGAATATGTAATTATTTGTAATTGTTTGTGGCCTTTCAAAGTGTCTCCATTTGCTATCATTTTTGTGTGGTGATTGTAAGAATTATCAGCTTTCTCCAATCACAAGTTTCCCTTTCATATTAACACAGCTTAAACAGGCTTTGTTTGCCTGTGTAACAAGCTTTTTCAGGTAGAAGTTTTGTGTTGCCTAGCAACATGAGCCCCTCACATGATATGAGAATTGTGCTGTCTAAATATCTGATAACACACGCACATAGGATGTATTCAACCAGTCTGTTTCCAGAACATTTGACTTGTTTCATCACCAAGTAATCTTGTGATTATATCACCATTCTAGATGATTCATCATTCAAAGTGCACTAATGTATGCATACCCAGGTAATAATTTTGTGTTTAGGTGAAAATTGTGTTTATCGCCTGTCAGATGCAATTTTCACCTGAACGTAAAATTATCACCTGGATATTGATATGCTAGTCTTGCCACACATTTCATCTCTGTTCCATATTGACCACACCAGTATGGCTTTGGCAGACATGATGGCTCTTAACAGTGTAATCCAGTAATGAAAATGAAGTTGTAAATATCAGTAACAAAGCTCCTTTACTTGGCTATATGATGAGCAGTACCCGTATATATTTGGATGGTATCTACCTAGCTGGCCATCCTGGCCACAGATGTCCATCATGGGGTTGCCATGGAAACAGTTACATGACATCTCTGTTTTCCATTTTCTTGCCAAGAATGCATTGTGTACCTGTGGGTGTATTATGCTCATTTGCTAATTCTGGTTAAGATGGCCATGACTTATTAAACAAAGGAAACTTTGATAGTCATATTAACTGTTAGGTAAAATGATGTGGGATCTTGTGTTATTCCTACTATATAGTGTTTGTATGAATGGCCTATCTGATGATTGTCTGGGGTTTTTTTTCTACATATTCTGTCTATTCCTAATAAATAAGCACTGTTTGCCATCTTTTCGTGCCACTGGTGAAATGTGCAGCTATTTAGATCTGTTCGTCATTAAGCCAGACATCCCTCTTCCATAAAATTGCATGATATCTTTGTTCACAGTTCAGTTGAATGTGTTTTCACTTCTCTGTTTACTGCAGCATGCTGTGCGCCAGAGATGATATTTGGTTTAAGTTTGAGAGAGAAAGAAAAGAGAGAGAGAGAGAGAGCATTTTTATGTTGGTTAATTAAGATATACAGTGAAGGTTAGTCAGATATGTCAGTCACACAATTACACAGTCACATATGAGTTATATTAAGTTATTAGCCAAATATAGTCACTAGTGACAATTCTGAGTAAAATTTCCCTGCATGAAAAATAATTGGAGGGTTCAACTTGGATTAAAAATCATAGTGATACTGCTTTCTTCACCATTGAAAAAACTCTGTACAGTTTCAGTTTCTGTACCTGCACTAATTAACTTAAGTTACTAATGTCATACTTAGTTGCCAGCAGCTTCTTTTAAGCTATTAAAAATTATCCTGGAATCTAACATCCAAAAAAGTTATTTCCATCAATGATTTAATTCAGACAAGAAAGATATATTTCCTCTTTCCTGCTGATATGCCACTTTAATGGTCTACTTACCCGCTAATAGAGAAGACATGAAAAACACCCACACACTGCATTAAGTAGGTGTGTTCAGACAAGAACACTGCAGAACACATTAGAGCAATTAGTAGGTGTGTTCAGACAAGAACAGTGTGGAACACATATCAGTGCATTCTGTAGGTGTGTTCAGACAAGAACAGTGTTGAACACATATCAGTGTATTCTGTAGGTGTGTTCAGACAGGAACAGTGTTGAACACATATCAGTGCATTCTGTAGGTGTGTTCAGACAGGAACAGTGTGGAACACATATCAGTGCATTCTGTAGGTGTGTTCAGACAAGAACAGTGTTGAACACATATCAGTGCACTCTGTAGGTGTGTTCAGACAAAAATAGATTATAGAGAGAACTTGGCTCAGTTTCTGAGATGACATCAATAAGCATTTCTAGTCTCACGCAGTCTCGTTCTGAGTGTGGCCTCTGCTTACTACAAGGAAAAAGATGGTTTTATTGGCTTGCCAATTTCACTTCAGCTGGCATTGAACATTTCTGCTGATATGTGATGTTTGTTTTATCTCCTGTACAGTTTGCAAGTATACTTACTTCTTACAGTGAGAATTAATTGGTTCAGCATAATGTTTAACATATCAGATTCTGGGAATTAAAACAACTCTTTTTTCAGTTCAGTATTGGCTCAAAGACTTATTCTAAATGTCAAAATAAGATGATATTTGTACTTCACAGCATATAATGTTGATGCATGTTTTTACTCAATTTTTCAGCATGCAGCAGAATTGGAGAAAAAACAGAATGAAATTGAAAACAAGAAACTGTTGGGCAACATTGCTCAGTATGGCAGTGTTGTACAGGTGAGCCCCCAGTCTTGTGCAGGGGGTGGTGTTCTCCTCTATGACATCTTTATACAATTATTGACTGTGGCTGAGGTCTGCTATTGGCTAGGTTTAACCCCAAGCTGGAATAAAATGACCTCAGTCAGTTATCCCAGCTTTAGGTTGAAACTTAGCCAACTACTGACTGAAACACAAAACCTATAACATCTTTGTTACATTATCACAATGTAAAGATAATTGAAAGTAATTAAGACACAATGACAACTTATTGATTACATATCTAGCTCATGGAGTCACTAAAATAATTGACCTCATGTGGCTGCCTATCATGTGAGTGGGCAGCGTCAAAATTGATGATCATGTGGCAGTTCTCTTTGTACAATTGTTTCCGTTACATCTATTCTCCTTATGCAATTGTTTTCTTTTTATATTTCGACCAATTCCTTTGTTGAGCAAGTAATAGGTGTTTTTACTGTTTTTTTTCTTTCTGATTGGGTAAGATGATAGATCTTGGTGACTGTGCAGAACATATTAAGAAATGTTTGAACACTTGTAATACCAGTGACATAGAACTGTCTAACTCAATGAGATAATTTGATGAAAATGATATTTTTATTTCTGGCAAGAAACTGTTTGGATCACTTTAAACACGTGTATGAATGTCATATATTAATCTCTTCAGTTGCTCCACCTTAAAAGCAACAAGTACCTGACAGTGAACAAGCGTCTGCCTGCGTTACTGGAGAAGAATGCCATGAGGGTCACACTGGACAACTCAGGAAATGAGGGATCTTGGTTTTATATAGTTCCCTTCTACAAACTCCGTTCGTCAGGAGACAATGTGTGTAATAGGATGGAGATATTGGTGTTGAAATATTAATGGAACAATGAATAGTTTTGACTTCTTTTAAAAAATAAATGGATACTTTTATATATTTAACAATTATATTGTTAAAATATGATAACTGCATTGTTCCAAATTCAAATGGAAATTCCAGGAAATATTGACTGGGAATGTAAATGTAGCAAACTTTTATTATAATAATGATAAATAATATTTATTTACAGTGTAAAATAGATACAAAATGTTCTTTAGATTTTCCAAGGGTAAATTAAGAGAATGAGATTGAATTAAAATACACAGTAGTTATTTCTTCACATTTGTAAAATTTCTGCTATGTTTTATTCAGGTTGTAGTGGGAGACAAGGTGGTCCTGAACCCAGTGAATGCCGGCCAACCCCTGCATGCCAGTAACTATGACCTGCCTGACAACCCTGGCTGTAAGGAGGTCAACTCTGTCAACTGTAACACCAGCTGGAAGATTGTCCTCTTCATGGACTATAGGGAGAACCAGGAAGATGTGCTGAAAGGGGTAAGTATGGAGAGCTAGTCCTCTTCATGGACTATAGGATGAACCAGGAAGATGTGCTGAAAAGGGTAAGTATGGAGAGCTAGTCCTCTTCATGGACTATAGGATGAACCAGAAAGATGTGCTGAAAAGGGTAAGTATGGAGAGCTAGTCCTTTTCATGGACTATAGGATGAACCAGGAAGATGTGCTGAAAAGGGTAAGTATGGAGAGCTAGTCCTCTTCATGGACTGTAGGATGAACCAGAAAGATGTGCTGAAAGGGGTAAGTATGGAGAGCTAGTCCTTTTCATGGACTATAGGATGAACCAGGAAGATGTGCTGAAAAGGGTAAGTATTGAGAGCTAGTCCTCTTCATGGACTATAGGATGAAC